TTTTTTTTTTTTTTTTTTTTTTTTTTTTTTTTTTTTTGTTTTTTTTTGTTGTTTTTTTGTTTTTTTTTGGCGCAACAAAACTTCGCCGATGACATTGTTAGCAGAGCTCATTTTACGGTGAGATTAATTTTGAATCATTCACACAAATCTGTTCTTGGCTGCTTTATTTTGGTCACTCGTCAGCTGCACGGCATACTTCCAGCAGTTGGATGATCGATTGGTTGCCGACACTCTTGGCAAGCTGGACATCTTCTTCAGCGATCTTGGCGCCAGCCGACAACAAACATCTCACGGCGACGACGTCTCCTTTCAGCATGGACAGCTTCAGGGCTTTCACGCCATCGGCGGTCGTGTGGTCGATGTGGACTGCAAGCACGTGCAATGCGTACTGCAGCAGGTCGAGGTCTCCGAATCGGGCAGCTTCGTGGATTTGCACAACTCGCAAATTGTCATGATCTTGAGCGTGTGCGATTGGATCAGTTGTGTGTTCTAAAAGATGAGTTCTGGTTGGGGTCGTGTTGTTCGGCAATCTAGGAAACAATAATAGATAAAGTAATATTATTATTATTATTATTTTTTTTTTACAAATGATCTTCTAAGAAATTATTAATGCCCGGCTCAGGTAACTTGACTACAGTATCTTAACTATGGTAATTTGACAACGGAAACTTTACCGCGGTATCTTGACTATTGTAACTTGACTACAGTAACTTGACTACAGTAACTTGACTACGGTAACTTGACTACGGTAACTTGGATACGGTAATTTGACTACGCTAACTTGACTACTTTAATTTGCCTACGGTAACTTGACTACGGTAGTTTGGCTACGGTAACTTGGCTACAATAACTTGGCTATGGTAACTTGACTACGGTAACTTACTATGGAAACTTGACTATGCTAATTTGACAACGGTAACTTAGCTACGCTAACTTGACTACGGTATCGTTGCTAGTCTCTTGGGAGTTTAAAATGACTTACGAATGCCTCCGTCTAGTTTTGTAATAATGAACTCAGAGTTGACCCGTTCAAATTAAATGATCACATCGTTTCTTGTTTTGTTTTGTTTTTTCATGAAAAGTTAACCACTGACTAAAGAATTTGATAACTAAAGTTAACCACTGACTAAATAATGAGATAACTAAAGTTAACCACTGACTAAAGAATGAGATAACTAAAGTTAACCACTGACTAAATAATGAGATAACTAAAGTTAACCACTGACTAAATAATGAGATAACTAAATTTAACCACTGACTAAATAATTAGATAACTAAAGTTAACCACTGACTAAGGAATGAGATAACTAAAGTTAACCACTGACTAAATAATGAGATAACTAAAGTTAACCACTGACTAAAAAATTTGATAACTAAAGTTAACCACTGACTAAATAATGAGATAACTAAAGTTAACCACTGACTAAAGAATGAGATAACTAAAGTTAACCACTGAATAAAGAATTTGATAACTAAAGTTAACCACTGACTAAATAATGAGATAACTAAAGTTAACCACTGACTAAGGAATGAGATAACTAAAGTTAACCACTGACTAAAGAATGAGATAACTAAAGTTAACCACTGACTAAAGAATTTGATAACTAAAGTTAACCACTGACTAAATAATGAGATAACTAAAGTTAACCACTGACTAAAGAATGAGATAACTAAAGTTAACCACTGACTAAATAATGAGATAACTAAAGTTAACCACTGACTAAATAATGAGATAACTAAAGTTAACCACTGACTAAGGAATGAGATAACTAAAGTTAACCACTGACTAAGGAATGAGATAACTAAAGTTAACCACTGACTAAATAATGAGATAACTAAAGTTAACCACTGACTAAGGAATGAGATAACTAAAGTTAACCACTGACTAAAGAATTTGATAACTAAAGTTAACCACTGACTAAAGAATGAGATGACTAAAGTTAATCACTGACTAAAGAATGAGATAACTAAAGTTAACCACTGGCTAAAGAATGAGATAACTTAAGTTAACCACTGACTAAAGACTTAGATAACTAAAGTTAACCACTGGCCAAAGAATGAGATAACTAAAGTTAACCAGACTAAAGAATGAGATGACTATAGAAAATTATGTGTGAATTTTAGATGTAATATATATATATATATATATATATAAATATATATATATATATATACATATATTTTTAGAGATGATAAAAAAGCTTTTAAAAATGTCAATACTGAAACTTTGATTTTGTTTAAAGTCAATGTAGCGGCGTATTTCATTTCTAATACCGGAAAACGTCACATAGCATTACGTAAGGTTACTATTTTTAGACAGTGTTTCGTAAACCAAGCTTCTAACAATGTATTTCCGCATACATTATAAAGAAGTGACAATGTGATTGTAATAATAGTTCGTAAAGTTGTCAACGCGTTTTCGTCCAGGTTGAGACCCACTATGGCGGCTGACATTAACGTAGAAGTACCGAGCATCTTTTGAGAGTTTGGCCAAGTGGAAGACCAGGATGTTTTATTTAATAATCTAATGAGACTGACCAGAGTCTACGCCCAGATGTTCTATTAATAGATTTCTGCCATTAAATGACAAACCCTATTGTAACAGTGTATGATAAGAACAGCCTCCAAGTTGGGATGGAAAACTGTATGTGTCATCGTGCACAGAACTAAAAAAATTGTTATATTTTTTTTAAATATTGTTCCTTGCTCTTGAATATTATATAGCTAAATATGTCGACCCCCCCTCCCCCCAAAATTCGATAAAATAACTTTAAGAAAGCTTTGATGAAATCCTTGATGAAATCCTTGACGAAAGCCTTGATAAATGCCTTGGGGAAAAGCCTTGATTAAAGCCATAAAGAAATCATCGAAGAAAGCCTTGAAAAAAAACCTTGATAAAAGCATTGAATAAAGCCTTGAAGAAAGCCTTGATGAAAGACTTGATTAATTTTATACTCATTGCCATTTCGCCATGTTTTCCAATATTTGACATAGTAAAAGAAAATATCGATAATCCCAACTTTCATTTTCAATATTGTCTCGTATATACATGGCCGAGCGCGCTTGCAACAAATACGAGAAAAAGCCACGCTCTAAAAATGACTAATACGTGAACGAGAAAAAGCCACACTGCAAATAACTAAGACGTGAACGAGAAAAAGCCACGCTCTACACATGACTAAGACGTGAACGAGAAAAAGCCATACTCTACAAATAACTAAGACGTGAGAAATTTACCTGAGTTGATCACCGACTGCCATCAATGTTGTCATCGCAGTTCGGTCTCCATGTTGCCGCGCAAGGTCAAGGCTGTTTCTTCCCGAGCCGTCCCTCGTGTCCAGGGTCACGCCCTGATGACCCGAGAAGTCCAAGACTTTGTTCACATCTCCGGCACTGGACGTTAAATACAGTAAAAAGACTTTGGCATCTTCTGATCGAGTTGTGGTTGCCATCAGTTTGGTGTTGAACTCAATTCTCCTCCCAGTGAACAGAAGTAATCAATCGATACCCCACACTGTGGACGGGAACACTGAGTTCCTAGCTCCTATGACACTAACTACTGTTGAATAGAAATTAAATACGGTTAATGAGAAACGTAAATATTTTTTGGACGACTATTAAGAACGCATTTTGGTCTCCTTGTGCCATTATTTCAAGAGCGCAATACTGGATATCGATTGATTAATGTCATTGAAATCAGTCTTTCCTCGGGAGCTAGTGGCGTCACAAGGTCAGGTGTTGGGTGCTGACTGCACAGGTTGGGGGGGGGGGCAGAATCAGAGGCATATCCCTAATATGAATATAGATATTTTATGGCCATCAAGGAGAATTTGTGTGGGGGGGGGAGTGGTTGAGGTAATTCCGGCACCATCTAGCACCCGCTGTAACCCCGACACTGTAAAGACCCCTGTTGTGCTACAAGACAGTTAAACTGTCGTGGGCATGACATAAGAATTGACAGGTGTACCTTACACACTAGGTTCCGGTAGATGTAAAAATGCCGAGGCTTGCTGTAAACAAGGGTCTACACCTGCCACTCGATACTTTTAGGTAATCCTTGAGTACTTATCACTTGTTGACACGAACGATACCTCCAAAAAAACATTCGAGTCCATATTTCTTGATGCTCAGGACACCGGTTGTGTTTTAAATGAACTTGGTAGGGTAGCTGGTGTACTTTCTGACTACACATGACGCTTAAGGTGTTTGACGTGTCACACTGTTATGGATTTTAAAAATATCTTTCTGCATGTCAGGGCTTTCTGAAACTCTGTTTATATATTTGGAGAGACTGCCAACAATAAGTGTGATAACAAAGGGGGGGGGGGGGGGGGGGGGGGGGGGTTTTTTTTTTTTTGTGGGGGGGGGGGGGGGGGGGGGGGGGGCGTGGCTAATATACTAATGGAAAAGCGGGAAAGAAAATTCATTTCGCTTCAAACCCACTTACCGAGATTATGAGAACTGCTGAAACCAGAATGTCGATCATGGCTCAAAAAAAAAAGTTATATCGGTGACGTCACTTACTTCTGTGTCACTGTGAATTATACTGTTGTGTGTGCGTTTGTGTGTTTGTTTATTTGTTTTTGATGTTTTTTTTTATCAAAAGAAACACTGCAGCCTAGCCGGTATTTGATTCCCTTACATAGCTCGAATATGTCATGACATGATCAATCAGAAAAGCTCTCTTACATTATTCGAATATGTCATCGCATGATCAATGTCATCACACGATCAACCTGACAGGCTCACTTGCTGGACTCGATGAATGTAACATATAAGGACGCGTATTTTATGCTTATTTTTGTAAGGGTGTTTTTTTGTTTTTTTTTTTACAAAATTGCACATATCGAGAAATTCCCTAAGATTTTTTAAGTTGATGGACCCTGTTGAAGATATAGTGAACATAGTCTTCAATGTTACTCACCTGGAATGCGCAATGGTAAGGTAATGGACCAGTGTAAAATTCGACCACTCCAAACAGCTCATTAAAACATGATTAAAAAGGTGTTTTTTTCCCAGCTAGTGTGTCATGAACTGTATTCAACTCTGCTGAATAATTATGCTAAAATAATTATGTAAAATCCCGATAATAATTATGACAGCAACAGACAGTCGCTGTTTTGTTGAAAGTGGCGTATGCGCTATTGAGTAGCAGTGCATGTAGGGTCACCAGAACACTTTGCAACCCCCCCCCCCCTTTCCAAATGTATTAATAGAAATGGATCTTCTCTCACACATTTTAAATGGCCACCTTTACTGTCAGCCTACCCACTTTTCTCTCCCCCACACGCCCTCATGACACACAAAAGAAATGTACATTTGCCAAGTGTGTGCTGTCAGTGAATCAATCTCTAATACAAAGATATATTTAAGGCTTGTGCGGATTGCGCCTTTGCTTGTGTTTGTAGATTGATAGTTTGTAATGCTACCAAACATCTCACGTCGTCCCCACACACACACACACTTTTTTAAAATATTGATCTATGTGGTATTGCGTGAATTTCATATTAAAAATTAACAAGAAAAGATAAGAAATAAAAACAAGAAGAGCACAAAAGGAAGGAAATCTGAACTTTCGACAAAAATTAATTAGATAATAGTCAAAATTTGTGGAAAATACATGAAATACTTTAGCCAAAATCAGAATGTATGTCTTCGAATATTTTTTTTCCTTTCGTAAGTTGATAAAATGAAGCTAACCAGCTCCTTCTACTGACATTATACCAAGTTCACTGGATACTTGGCTCCTGTACCTAATGTGTAGCCGACCCAATGTCTTGTTGCGTACTATAACAGTGGTGAGAGGTCACGAGCGCCAAACAGGCGGCAGTACAATTTCTCGCATTATTTTCTTATGTTTTAATTGTTTTCTTGAAATTATATACCTGGAGAGTTGGAGATTTTTGGATCCGAAAGTTTCTTAAACTGTTTGGAAGCTGAAATTTTTTCACTCATAACAAACGCGATCGTGTTGCAGTGTGTAATGTCTTGACAGGACTATGTAATTGAACAATTTTTTGGGGCCTACAGGAGCCAGAATGATCAATACTTTTATTGTGGGCCCTTAATATATAGAAGAAGAAGAAATAGACATTGTCTCCTGAAAGCCTCAACACATCTTGTTACAATATTTGTTTTGCCTCCTTAAAAGGAAGAAAAAAAAAAAAGGATTTATTAAGTTATAGTAATATTTCTGACGAGCTTTTTTTAGAAATACAAATGAATGTTACTAATAACATTGTTATAGTTTACGTGTTGCATTTCGACATACTAATTACAAAATGTTTAGGGCATATAAAGGAAGCAAACGCAAAATTTGTCTAAATACAACATAAGAGTTATATATGAACTGCAGCTTGTTAGTATGTGACAATAAGAATCTAGAGAAGTGTTTTCAAATCGGAGTTCCACGGAACTTAACGACTCCGAGGGGGCAACCCAGAGGTTCCGTCGGTGGCCAGTAACATTTATAAAAAAAAAACAGCCGAAATCGAAGTACGGTCACTGTTGGAATTAGTTCTTTGTTGATCCATTTCATTGCTGTATGCGTTGTTGTCCTAATGATCGTTTAGTGTTTGAAATAATTTTCACAGCCACTGCTAGCGTTTTGACGACCGTGGACCGATTAACTGAGGAGAGAAAAAAAAATAAAACGATGCCACGGCTGGTGACCAAGCTAAAATTCAGGAGCAGTGGACTGAAGCCGCAAGCTAGTACCGCGTCATGTGAGACGAACGTGCCAAAACATTGACGATGTCAATCGGCGACTTATAGTCGCAATCAATAAAATGACAATTACTTGGCTGACAATTACTTGGCTGACAATTTGTTGGCTGACAATCACTTGGTTGAAAATCACTTGGTTGACAATCACTTGGCTGACAATCACTTGGCTGACAATTGCTTGGCTGACAATCACTTGGCTGACAATCACTTGGCTGACAATTACTTGGCTGACAATCACTTGGCTTGGCACTGAGATTTACTTTGGCAGGACACCAAGACTACCGTTTACCGCTAAGTGTTGTCTAGAGCGGGGGAAAGCTGCCAATCGCGCGACCCCTATGTGAACAGAAAGACACCTCAATATAAACCGAAAGACACCCCAATGTGAGCAGAAAGACACCCCTATTTGAACAGAAAGACACCCCAATGTGAACAGAAAGACACCCCTATTTGAACAGAAAGACACCCCTATGTGAACAGAAAGACACCTCAATATAAACCGAAAGACACCCCAATGTGAACAGAAAGACACCCCTATTTGAACAGAAAGACACCCCTATGTGAACAGAAAGACACCCCAATGTGAACAGAAAGACACCCCAATGTGAGCAGAAAGACACCCCTATGTGAACAGAAGGACAACCCAATGTGAACAGAAAGACAACCCAATGTGAACAGAAAGACACCCCTATGTGAACAGAAGGACAACCCTATGTGAACAGAAAGACACCCCAATGTGAACAGAAAGACACCCCTATGTGCACAGAAGGACAACCCAATGTGAACAGAAAGACACCCCAATGTGAACAGAAATACATCCCAATGTGAACAGAAGGACAACCCAATGTGAACAGAAGGACATATTATGTGTAAAGAAGGACACCCTATGTGAACCAAAAGACAACCTTTTGTGAACTAACTAAACAGACGCAAACACTACATTGGAGAAAACGATTGACTTATGTGACAAAACTCAAGATAAGTGACAAAGCACTAGATAGGTGGCAAAGCTCAAGATAAGTGACAAGGCTCTAGATAGGTGGCAAAGCTCAAGATAAGTGACAAGGCTCTAGATAGGTGACAAAGCTCAAGATAAGTGACAAGGCTCTAGATAGGTGACAAAGCTCAAGATAAGTGACAAGGCTCTAGATAGGTGACAAAGCTCAAGATAAGTGACAAGGCTCTAGATAGGTGACAAAGCTCAAGATAAGTGACAAGGCTCTAGATAGGTGACAAAGCTCAAGATAAGTGACAAGGCTCTAGATAGGTGACAAAGCTCAAGATAAGTGACAAGGCTCTAGATAGGTGACAAAGCTCAAGATAAGTGACAAGGCTCTAGATAAGTGACAAAGCTCTAGATAAGTGACAAGGCTCTAGATAGGTGACAAAGCTCAAGATAAGTGACAAAGCTCAAGATAAGTGACAAGGCTCTAGATAAGTGACAAAGCTCAAGATAAGTGACAAAGCTCAAGATAAGTGACAAAGCTCAAGATAGGTGACAAAGCTCAAGATAAGTGACAAAGCTCTAGATAGGTGACAAAGTTCAAGATAAGTGACAAAGCTCTAGATAGGTGACAAAGCTCAAGATAAGTGACAAAGCTCTAGATAGGTGACAAAGCTCAAGATAAGTGACAAAGCTCAAGATAGGGGACAAAGCTCAAGATAAGTGACAAAGCTCAAGATAGGTGACAAAGCTCAAGATAAGTGACAAAGCTCTAGATAGGTGACAAAGCTCAAGATAAGTGACAAAGCTCAAGATAGGTGACAAAGCTCAAGATAAGTGACAAAGCTCTAGATAGGTGACAAAGCTCAAGATAAGTGACAAAGCTCTAGATAGGTGACAAAGCTCAAGATAAGTGACAAAGCTCAAGATAGGGGACAAAGCCCAAACTATGTGATAAAGCTCAAAATGAGTGACGAAGCACAAGATAAGTTACAAAGTTCAAGATAAGTGTCAAAGCTCAAGATAAGTGACAAAGCTCAAGATAAGTGACAAAGCTCAAGATAGGGGACAAAGCCCAAACTATGTGATAAAGCTCAAAATGAGTGACGAAGCACAAGATAAGTTACAAAGTTCAAGATAAGTGTCAAAGCTCAAGATGAATGACAAAGCTCAAGATAAATGAAAAATTTCAAGATAAGTGACAAGGCTAAAGATAGGAGACAAAGTTCAAGATAAGGGACAAAGCTCGAGATAAGTGAACAATCTCAAGATGAGGGACATCATTAAGATTCCACTGTCAGACAATACGACAAGCACTCGTATTTCAGACATATCGAACGATTTTGAAAGTCATTTTGCTCTTCAAGGTTTTCAACTCCTTGCATGATGAGCTGCGGGTTTTTCTCTCTTTCGAACGTTCGGCTCCACATTCAAATGCTTTGTAAAAGCTACCAAGCACGAGGTTGGCATTGAAATGTTCGCTGATCCAAAACGGTGCTAACGGGTTACCACTATAAAGTAACTAACTTAATCAGTAAGGAAGGCTATTTTGGCGGAGTTTATTTCTGATATGATACAATCACAGTGTTGCATCCATTCACCTGTATCAATGGTATTTCGGCTCGTGCACAAATAAGTACAGGGATATGATGTTTCTGTCTATGCGGAATACAACAAACTATTGTGTCAATGATGGGGGGGGGGCATAGAGCAATCCCTTGTGTCACTAATGGGGTTGGTATAGAATAATCCCTGGTATCATAGCATGGGGTTGACATAGAACAAAATCTTGTGTCACTGAATGGGTGTTGACATAGAATAATCCCTGGTATCATAGCATGTGGTTGACGTAGAACAATCCCTTGCGTCACTAATGGGGATGGTATAGAATAATCCCTGGTATCATAGCATGGGGGTGACATAGAACAAAATCTTGTGTCACTGAATGGGTGTTGACATAGAACAATCCCTTGTGTCACTGAATGGGGTTGACATTGAACAATCCCTGGTATCATACCATGGGGGTTGACATAGAACAATCTCTTGTGTCACTGAATGGGGGTTGACATAGAACAATCCCTTGTGTCACTGAATGGGGGTTGACATTGAACAATCCCTGGTATCATACCATGGGGGTTGACATAGAACTATACCTGGTATCATACCATGGGGTTGACATAGAACAATCCCTGATATGATACCATGGGGTTGACATAGAACAATCCCTGGTATCATACCATGGGGCTGACTTAGAACATGCCTTGTGTCACTGCATGGAGTTAACATAGAACAACCTCTTGTGTCACTGAATTAGGAGCCATAGAACAATTCCTTGTGCCACTGCATGGGGTTCCCCGAACCAGGTAAACGCTGCAAGGGGTTCCGTGAGCCAGGTAAACGCTGCAAGGGGTTCCGTGAGCCAGGTAAACGCTGCAAGGGGTTCCGTGAGCCAGGTAAACGCTGCAAGGGGTTCCGTGAGCCATGTAAACACTGCAAGGGGTTCCGTGAGCCATGTAAACACTGCAAGGGATTCCGTGAGCCATGTAAACGCTGCAAGGGATTCCATTTCAACACAAAGAGTGAACAATGCTGATCTAGAGACTAAGACAGGTTTTAAATTATAACAAACATTTGCTCAGTCATGACACCAGTTTTAATCATTGAAAAAATGCCATCTAAAGATTCATTTACAATTTAAAGCTCAATGACCACAAAAGTATTATTTACAAGTAATCATTACAATCAGGTTAGATATATAAATCTTTTTTTTTTTTCATATGTACGAAATGCAATTTTTTATAAATATTAATATCACTCAAAAAAGCAACAAAAAATATTATAAGAATGACTAATTTGAGATAAAAAAAACAATAAACATGATTAAATAATCATAATTAAGTAATATATAATTTATTAGAGCAATGACGATATTTTTTCGCGGTTAAAAAAAAAACAAACACGAAATAGTTAAAGCTCTATGTTTGAGGCATTACCATGATATTATGAAAGAAGATAACAGTGGTAAATGTGAATTCACACGATGACCTAATGGACGATAGTTGACACCGTATAAGGAAAGGCGAGGTTGGGGGAGGCCGGTACACACAAAAAAGGCCACGTGACAGAGGTCTACCGGGACAATAAGATGGGGCATTCAGCTGCGGCACTCAGGTGGAGCACTCAGCCGGGGCACTTACGCGGGGCACTATGCCGGTGATTTCAGCCGGGGGCACCCAGTGGGCCACTCAGGCGGGGCACTCAGCCGGTACATTTAGCCGGTGCATTCAGCCGGGCCACTCAGGCTGGGCATTCGGCCTGGACCTCCAATTCACTCAGGTATTTAACTATTAAATATCCTTTTATAATGCTGTTTGAGCTGCAACAATTTTACATTGTTTAGCTCGATTTCATAAATTTAGATCAGCGGTTCTCAGCCTGTGGGTCACGACACCATTTGGGGTCGAACGAACCTTACACAGGGGTCACTTATGACCATCGGAAAACACATATTTATGACGTAGAAACGAAAATAATTGTATGGTTGGGGGTCACCACAACATAAGGAACTGTATGAAAGGGTCGCGACATTTGGAAGGTTGAGAACCACTTTTTAAGAGTATTCAATCTATAACTAGTATTCCCGATTGGATCATGAACAGGATGCTGACACCTACAGAACATGGTAAGTGGTGGATACATGGATCGCCTTCTGGATTCATTTACACTCACAGCATGGTGGTTGCGTCCCCCCCCCCCTCGCCTTTCGCCATATTTGATAGTTTTCATTACTCTTGTGTACAAATAAAATGTACGAGTGTTGGGAAAGAAAAAATTCCAGGGACTAAGACATCTTTTGGTATCTGGCAGGCGGTTAACACCAACTGTGTTATATTTTTAAGTGGGCTTTAGCTAAGGTAAATATAATATGTAATTATAAGAGCCAGAATGATCAATACTTTGATCGCGGACCCCCTCGAAACATAAAAGAAGAAGAAGATATGTGGGGGGGGGGGGAAACGACGACAACCACGAAATGAAACATTGCTCTTCTCTTTTGCTAATTTTGCTAACTGTAACCTAATGATATATGATACATATTAACAGTAGAGAAAAGGGACTATTTCGAGTTGGAACAAGAACACAGAGATCTAAAGAGTGATAAGGCGGAAATAGAAGAGAGGGCATTTTGTGACTGATTTCAAGCTGTCAATTGATCGAATATTATTATTATGAAGTCATTGGAAATCATCTGGGAATGAGACATTGTATCAAGTACGTATCGGTCATATTGACATTGATGTCAGGACTGCAAAGCTGTTTGACAATTTCGTTAACTACGAAACAATCTGGGATTAGCCATGTATTACACGTATCTAGTTTGACTGTTCAACAAGTCACTCATCCCTTTGGGCCCTTCAATATCTTCTTCTCATCCCTTTGGGCCCTTCAATATCTTCTTCTCATCCCTTTGGGCCCTTCAATGTCTTGTTCTCATCTCTTTGGGCCCTTCAATATCTTCTTAGCAGATATAAATTATGGAATATTTCATCGTTCAAAATCGTTTGCCAACCCCTGGACTAGCTAGAGCAGTGGCTCTCAACTTGTGTGTCGCGAGCCCTTTGAGGGGGGTCAAACGAACCGTTGCAGAGGGGTCGCTAAGACCATAAGAAAACATATTTATGAATTAGCAACGAAAATAATATTATAGTTGGGGGTCACCACAACATGAGGAACTGTTATAAAGGGTAACGGAATCAGGATTGTCGAGAGCCACTGAGCTAGAGTAAGACCCCAGCTTATTCAAATCAGAATGTGTTCGCTGAGAAGTGACAAGCATTCCATCTGATCGTTTTCTACGGCCAGTTCTATAACGTCCTCGTCGACGTCGGCACCGGCATCCAGCAGACAACTCAGTGCGACGACATCGCCTTTCAGCGTGGCCATCCTCGCCGCGTTGATTCCTTCCCCGTTCGTGTAGTCCACCGAAGCTCCGATCGCATCGATCACGTTGAGTAGAAAATCAACCGATCCGAAGGCGGCAGCGTTGTAGACCTGAAGCACCGGCAGGAGGTCGTTGTCGGCGGACGTGACGCTTGCATCGGATGCGTCATCCTCTGACGGAGACGGGCCCTCCGCCGTTTCATCTGGAGGGGCACTTGTGTAAGCGTCAGCATCGGTGACTGAAGTGGCTCTGAAAGGATTACAAGTGACGTTGCTAAAAAAACTTTATATAAAAATGTGTTAATGAATTGTCTTTAATCTAAAAACGTGAGGGAAATTCAGAGAGGACATCAATATCCACACCCCCTACATTAAAAGCCACAACCCATTACATTAACAATCACACCCCCATACATTTAAATCACATCCACATACATTAAAAGCCACAACACATACCTTAAAAGCCACGCCTCATACCTTAAAAGCCACACCCCATACATTAAATGACAGTCAAGACCTAATAGATTCAACCTATCGAAATGTCAGCACTGAAAACATGCCACATCCCAATGCAGCCCAAGATTGCGTCATATGTCATGACTGTGTCCTATGCTATGACTGTGTCCTATGCTATGATTGTGTCCTATGCTATGATTGTATCCTATGCTATGACTGTGTTCTATGCTATGACTGTGTCCTATGCTATGATTGTGTCCTATGCTATGATTGGGTCTTATGTTATGATTGTGTCTTATGTTATGATTGCGTCGTATGTTATGAATGCGTCCAATTGCATAAGTGTGTCCATTGGCCTGATTGTGTCTTATGTTATGATTGTGCCCATTGGTATGATTGTGTCCTATGTTATTATTGTGTTCTATGTCGTGACAGGTAACATCCTGATACAGCCCACTTCCCACAATGCCACATCCTGATATATACCACATCCCGTGACATATCACATCGTCATACATACCATATTCCTACATGCCACAACCTAAAACATATAACATCCCAATATGTCACATTTTTGTACATTTAACATTGTGATGCATACCAGATCCTGATAAATATCACTCCCCATTACATGACACATCCCGTTACATATCACATCCCATTACATAGAACATCCCATTACATCCAGCATTTATGGGCGCCCGCAGAGGGGGGCAAGGGGGGCACTTGCCCCCCCCCCCCCGGATTGATTGGATAAAAAATTTTTAGACAAAAATAGACCATAAAAAAATGTTGCCCCCCCCCCCGGAAAGTTTATCTATTTTTGTTGCCCCCCCCCCCCCCTAGAAAGTTTTCTTCGGGCACCCATGCCAGCATCCCATTAAATACCAGATCCTGATACTTACAACATCTCATTACATATAAGATCACATTACATACAACATCCCATTACATACAACATCCCATTACATACCAGATCCTGATACATACAACATCCCATTAATACAACATCCAATTACATACAACATCCCATTACATACAACATCCCATTACATACCAGATCCTGATACATACAACATCCCATTAATACAACATCCCATTTCATAACAGATCCTGATATATATCATATCCCATTATATACAACATCCCATTACAAACAGCATCCCATTGCATACCAAACCCCATTACATACCAAACCCCATTACATGCCAAATCCCATTACATAAAACATCCCATTACATACCGCATGATGAAAACTTACTCCCCATTTACGCCCTACCTTACGTCCAGCTTCTCCAACGTCCTGATCGCCCTCTGATCCTGGTACTCCCGTGCGATGGACATGGCGTTTCTCCCCTTGTTGTCCTTCATGTCCAGGGACACGCCAGTCTGGCACTGGATCTCCCAGACCTTGTCCTCTTCCCCGGAGCTGGCCGCTATGTAAATCTGGAACACCTGGCAGTCCCTCGGTATCGTGGTTCCAGACATGGCTATGACCTAGATTTTTTTGGAGGATAGTTGATTTGATTTTTAAATTATTTTTTTTTTTGAGATATCAAATCGTGTGTCTTGTGATGAGCATTCCTGTACAATAAATCTTTCTTTCTTATTTCTTTTCTTTTAATCCATTTAAATTTTTTTTTTTTTTTTTTTTAACACGCTGAAAACCTTATTTGCCGTGCACGCGATAAAAAAAAAAAAAAACTTAAACAAGCAGCAGTGCGGTGCGGTGCGAACCGCACTGGATGACACCAACCCTAGCAACGCCACAGCAAACACAATTTTAAGAACCTTGCTTTAATCAAAATTAGTGTTTGAAATAATGTACTCCCCCACTTTCTCTCTCTATTTATTTCTCTCTCTCTCTCTCTCTCTCTCTCTCTCTCGCTCTCATTCTTTTCCATTATCCAGACAGTTCTCAAACATATATTTTTTGCTACAATGAATATCGGATACAAACAAGACATAATATTGATGAGGGCAACCTGTTACGTTTCCATGAGATGTGTTGAGCATTGGATGTAACACACTCTCGTGGAACGGTCATTTACTGTACTTTCAACTTTTTCCCAGCAAGTATCGAGCACATCATGTCATGAGATAGCTTGTCCCATGACATGTTTGTTTCACACATGACTATCGTGGTCTCATTTTTAGCTTCAAAATAGTGTCGTCGTCCCCCCCCCCCAATAAATAAAAAAAGTTCCTCTAGTCCAGGGGTCGGGAACCTATGGCTCGCGAGCCAGATGTGGCTCTATTGATGGCTGCATCTGGCTCGCAGACAGGGGTCGGGAACCTATGGCTCGCGAGCCAGATGTGGCTCTATTGATGGCTGCATCTGGCTCGCAGATAAATGTTCGATTGTATAAAAAAAAGTCGCATAAATGGTAAGAAATACTCATTATTGATTAGCAACAACATAACAATTTTAATAAAAGGATTTCAGAGGCATAATTATTGCATTTTTAGTGTTGAAATGACACAAAATGCACAGATTTTACTTGAATGCTTAATTTTAAACTTAATGTACGGCTCTCAGAGATTTACTTTTCAAAATATGTGGTGTCCATGGCTCTCTCAGACTAAAATGTTCCCGACCCCTGCTCTAATCGCTATGTTATGTCAACCGATTGTGTCTCAGGCCATACATGTGTCCCCGCATGCTCTAGTCACTATGTTATGTCAACCGATTGTGTCTCAGGCCATTAATGTGTCCCCGCATGCTCTAGTCGCTATGTTATGTCAACCGATTGTGTCTCAGGCCATTAATGTGTCCCCGCATGCTCTAGTCGCTATATTATGTAAACCGATTGTGTCTCAGGTCATTAATGTGTCCCCGCATGCTCTAGTCGCTATGTTATGTCAACCGATTGTGTCTCAGGCCATTAATGTGTCCCCGCATGCTCTAGCCGCTATGTTATGTAAACCGATTGTGTCTCAGGCCGTACGTGATGTGTCCCCGCATGCTCTAGTCGCTATGTTATGTCAACCAATTGTGTCTCAGGCCATTAATGTGTCCCCGCATGCTCTAGTCGCTATGTTATGTAAACCGATTGTGTCTCAGGCCGTACGTGATGTGTCCCCGCATGCTCTAGTCGCTATGTTATGTAAACCGATTGTGTCTCAGGCCATAAATGTGTCCACGCATGCTCTAGTCGCTATGTTATGTAACCGATTGTGTCTCAGGCCATAAATGTGTCCACGCACACTCATTTACTATACTGTGCCACGATCGTCTCTAATGTTATGACTGTGCCGATTGCCGGGATTTTGTCCCATGTTGTGACTGTGTCCTGTTTGTGTCCTAAGCCATGAATGCGTCCTGTGGCAGGATTGTGTCTTATGTTATGTTTGTGTCCATCGCCATGATCGTTTCCTATGTCGTAGATGTGTCATAAGAAACGGCTGGGTCCTATACCATAAACGTGGCAGGATTGTGTCTTATGTTATGATGCATCCTTTAACCTGATTGTGACCTCTGCCATGATTGTGTCTTAAGTTATGATTGTGCCCTATGTCACAACGTTGCGATCTATGCCATGATTGTGTCATATGCCATGAATTTATGACGTAATGTCATATGTCATGAGTGTGCCCCGTAATGTCCCATGCCATGAGTTTGTCCCGTATGTCCCACGACATGAGTGTGTCCTGTAATGTTTCATCCCATGATTGTGTCCCGTAATATCCCAAATAATGAGTATTAAACAGAAACTCGTCCCTCTCCCCCATAGACAGCGACGAGGCCATGACAGGCAATTCAGGCTCATACCAGCAAGAAGCCAGTATAGAAGCTGCTCATTCCTGCCCAAGACAATCAGGGACTGGAACCATCTTTCAAAAGGAACAGTTGAGGCGACAACACTAGACACATTTGTGTCTATTGCCTCAAGCCTTCAAACCCCTAGTGCATAATTTCCTCATCACCACCAGTAACAGAAACATTGCAAATCCCATCTACATGCATAGGAGCCAAAATGATCAATAAATTGATCGTGGGCCCTTAAGATATAGAAGAAGAAGAAGAAGATGAGTATGTCCCATTATGTCCCATGCCAAAAATGTGTCACATCGCACTCATCTACTCTATTACATGCCCCCAATACTCACCGACTCAAAGTGAGTTTTGATCTTTCGGCTCTGGTTCAATTTTCAACATTGATTTTTTAAAAGGATTTTAACACAGTAATCGAGAAAACCAGGTCATTGTATGTGTTCCTTTTCGTTTTATGCTATTCATATTTTACGGAAAGATTAACCAACACATTTCAACAAAAGAAAAACCGCTGACATTTTTATATGAATAAAAAGTTACCTAGTTTAAACTGTAAAGATGATTAGAAAAAATGTGTATCATAATTTGTCTCTGAAAAGCTGATGCTAAATGAAACCAATATTTATCTTTTTACTTCCGTATTAACTACAAGAATCCAGATAATATTAGAAAACCCGATTTTACATTCTCTATAATTTTTCCCCAAACAACAAAACAAAAGGGGAAAAAATGGCAAATGCGGAAATTTCCGATTTTTTTTTTTTGCGTTGCACAACATGAGCTTAAACAAGATCAACATGTTTAAACGGTGTTTTTTTTAACCTAAAAATGAGACCACAATTAAAATATTTCAAATTTGGTTACAAAAACATTTTTTTAATTAGAAAAATAATTATAATAATAAAATATTTTTTTAAAAAAGAAAAGAAAAAGAAGTTATTACATAACAAATATGGCCCGGACCATTCAAAATTGTAGCCTAGATATAAAGAATACATAAAACATTAGCGACACTCGCTGCACAAGGTAAAAGCGAAATACAAATTATAATTTTTTTTCAAAGTTGCATTATTCAATATTATTTCTCCTTTTTTTCATTCCGTAGACAATCTTTATAGACAATCATTACACACAATCATTACATACAATCATTAGAGACAGGCTAACAGATAGGCTGTGTACAGCTTCACATTTAATTCATTTACTCCTCTCTTTAATTTCCATCATATCATAGATCCCTCTTCCATGTATTCTAAGTCTTCTTGTCAAACTTTCCGCTGTCTAATTTATTCCGTTGTCCAATATTCCGATGGTCGAGACCAATGTTCACTCTAGGGTGTGTTGGTTCCAGGGACGTGCTGGCCCACGACGACGCGACGAGCATTCGTCATGGGCCTTTTTGGGCAGTTATTACAATCTCCGGTGTGCGGAGGGGGGGGGCTGGGGGGGGCCTCCGGGCCTTTCTTACTACACCGTTCGTCACGGGTTTCCATGTGACAGCACGTCCCTGGTTGGTTCGTGTGCAAAATCATAAAGTTGTGTGCACATTTTTACAGCATCAATTTTTTTTTGGTGCAAATTTTTACAGCCTACAGCCTACAGACACAAACACACACTTAAGTGGAAATTAGCTGCGAGGCGTCTGTGAGATTCCTGCGCGGCCGCGCAGCCGCGCAGCTTAAAAGGAACATTGGTCGAGACCAGTGGTCGGCAAACTCATGAGTCAAAAGAGCCAAAAATCAACAGCAAGACAACTTTTTTAAAAATTGAGAACCGAATTTCTTTTTAAGAACCTGTCAAGAGCCATGCTTTTCGGAGTCCAAACCGGTGTGTGCCCGATTGACCGAGCCGCACCCTGGTCTCTAAAGAGCCGCATGTGGCGTCCGAGCCGCTGTTTTCCGACTATTGTCTAACAGATTCTGATGTCAAATATTCCGGTCAAACCTTACGCCAGGCTCTTTGTTTCGGATATTGTCTCTCCCTTGGTAACAACACTGACTAATGTCATTGATACTGTACTCGGATTTCAATGAACTGAAACACTGAAGCGTTCATTGTATGCTATGCCTTGATTTCAATGAACTCAAACACTGAAGCGTTCATTGTATGCTACGCCTTGATTTCAATGAACTCAAACACTGAAGCGTTCATTGTATGCTATGCCTTGATTTCAATGAACTCAAACACTGAAGCGTTCATTGTATGCTATGCCTTGATTTCAATGAACTCAAACACTGAAGCGTTCATTTATGCTATGCGTTGATTTCAATGAACTCAAACACTGAAGCGTTCATTGTATGCTATGCCTTGATTTCAATGAACTCAAACACTGAAGCGTTCATTGTATGCTATGCGTTCATTTCAACACTGTACTAAAACTCCACTACGTATACAATGAAGTTGAACCTAATTACATCCGGCAGAAACCCCGCAGAATATCTAACCCCCAAACTCTTCCTTTCTCTCTCGATCACTCTCGTTCTCTCCCTTTATAACCCCCAAACTCTTCCTTTCTCTCTCGATCACTCTCGTTCTCTCCCTTTATAACCCCCAAACTCTTCCTTTCTCTCTCGATCACTCTCGTTCTCTCCCTTTATAACCCCCAAACTCTTCCTTTCTCTCTCGATCACTCTCGTTCTCTCCCTTTATAACCCCCAAACTCTTCCTTTCTCTCTCGATCACTCTCGTTCTCTCCCTTTATAACCCCCAAACTCTTCCTTTCTCTCTCGATCACTCTCGTTCTCTCCCTTTATAACCCCCAAACTCTTCCTTTCTCTCTCGATCACTCTCGTTCTCTCCCTTTATAACCCCCAAACTCTTCCTTTCTCTCTCGATCACTCTCGCGATTGAGTAAAAATTGCTGAATTTTAGTTTCTGTGTTGCAAGCAGGAACTTAGACATATTTGTACATCTCGAACATTATGTAGTTGGCGCTCCTTGCATCTAATGAAACGGGCGTAATTTGCGCTGCTTGCATCTAATGAAACGGGCGTAATTTGCGCTGCTTGCATCTAATGAAACGGGCGTAATTTGCGCTGCTTGCATCTAACTAAACGCAACGCTCAACGTGCACCAAGACAGGCTTACGTCAAGTTATCATTACCCCAAGAGACAAAACTTTTTTAAAATTTTGTGATGTAGGGTGATAAAAACCAAGTGTGTGAATGTGCAAATGAGTTTGTGTGAAATAAACATCGCTTTATTTTAATGTACTGATGATGGTTAAAGATTTTTTTAAAAATTTGATCAATATTGCAAGCAGTATTTTAATGTGAAAATCTTCTTTAAAACAAGACGTTGGAACAGGAGTTTAAAGAAATTTCCACCGTAAGTCAAACAGTCTTTCCATTAGCATCCGTCGTGTTTGGCTTAAAAACCAAGCTGTATTCGCAAAAAAAAAATAATAAATTTTTTTAAAAATTTAAAAAATTCAACGATTACGATTACTTAAAACTGATTAAATTATTTAAACGGCAGTTGTTTACCGTTTTCTGAATTAAAAATGTTTCAAATTCCCAGTGACGGGCAGATAAAGGAAGAGTCCATTTGATGTATCTCATACGCATCCTTCTAATCATTTTTAAAAAAAATATTTATTATTAGGTCTAAGTTAGTATCACATACCTAAATTGACATAGCATTTACTATTAAGATAAATATGCATTTCATTAATTTACTGACATGAAATGGAACTTAATTTTCTATATAAATAACAAGTGATTAACGCAAACTTTAAAAGCAGGTGGATAATTTAAAAGTCTTCTACGCAGTCCATTAGCAATGGCTCAAAGTCATCAAAGTGGCGCAGGATAGATGGCGATTTCTGGCAGCGTACTTGAATATTTTTTAAGCAAAATTCCAGCCTCGGTCAGAGCAGCGTCCGCATCGGTTACCATGGCAACGTTCTCCAGACCCGCCGTCCACGTCAGGTGAAAGGACGACAGCTTGTTGGCTGGAGGGTTGTCGATGATGACGTGAGGAATGTCCAGCAGCGTGGACAAGATGTGCCCGTGGAGGCGGTCAGTGATGAGCACACGTCCCCTCTGTAAGAACGACAGACCGTTGCTGGCAATGAGAACTGCCGTCTCCATCTCAGTCTGGCCTCTGTTCGTCTTCCAGTCCCACCAGTCGGAAACGTGCACGCTAAAATTACCGAAAGTCTCCGGAAGTTTATAATTAGACGACTCGTGGTCTATTCTCTTCAGCCACAGGATATCGAAGCTTGGCGGGAAAGACCTGGGCACTGAGCCTATAAGAAACGCCAAGTCTGGCGCTAAAATGGTGCGGACGCCTTGAAAATAGGATCTGGCCACCCCTAACGACTGCCTGTCTCTTATGAGTAACGTGAGGTTCGAGTTGTTGGAATATATCTGCTGACAGAGCTTCATGTTTGCTTCAAGGTGGAAGTAAACAGACTGCGAAAAGACGATCATTTTGAAGCGGGAGAAACGTTGGATAACTCTGGCGCGAACGTCGTCGACTTCTGAATACATGGCGATGTTGCCTCCCCCTTGCATGAGGATCACCAGCTCTTCGGCGGGGTAGCGACGGCTGAGGTTAAGAGCGTAATCTAAGGTGCCGTTGTTGCATTCTGACGTCGAGCAGTAAAAAATCACGGTTATATTGAGCTTTCTTAGCAGCATGACCTCTCCCATGGTGATCGCCGGGTCGCCTTTGTTCTCGTAGGTCGCTATCTCCATCAGCATGGCGTACCTGGCTCCGGCGGTCAGCTCTTTCAAAATCCCGATCATCACCCTTTGAGCCTCGTCGATGATGTCATGGCTCTTGGCCAGGTGCTTCGCCAGCAGGTTCGTCTCATCCGGGTGGTCCGCCAAACGCCAAGAAAGGAATGCCGAGAGTTGTATTTGCAACGTGTCGTTGTGGAACTCGGTGCTTTCCGCGACGCTCAACCCGAGGCTCTCTAGGTCTTTAGTCCTGATGCCACTGAAGGGGCGCTCTGTGGTAAAATGGGGTCTGACGGTGTTGGCAGTGACTGCGACAGATCCTGTGTTCGACATGGCCAGCATGATGATGATGACACTGATGGTAAGCCACAGGAAGTAGCGCCATGTTTGTGTTGCTAATTTTAAAAACAGATTGTAAAATTTATATGATTTATATGGAGCACTATACTAAAATTTAGATTATACATAAATACATGTATAAATATATATANGTTTATATATATATATATATATATATATATATATATATATATAAATTACTCCATATTGTGTGTAAGCACATAAGTGTTTATTATATTACATCAGGCATAAGAAGAATATCAGCTCAAGAGAATGTCAATAAAATGTAGACAGATTTTTTAAAACTTTTTATAGCTTACTCATATGAAAGTGGCGATATATATTTTTGTCTGACATAACATCGCCATCAATTTAAATTGATTTTTTAAAAGGAAAATCTTACTTTGGAAAACATTTACCAGGAATTTTAAGTAGAGCTTAAAGTTGGGAAAAACATTAAGTTATCCACTTCCATATTCCTTCAATGATTGCTAGGGCTGAGCCAGAGTCTGACCCGGATATCTGGAAATTGCCGAGTATGAGCACACCCGGCAATACCCGGACCCGGTAAAAATG